TTTAATGGTTAAAATATCCCTAATAACAGATTTGAAAATTTATACTTTGACATTTGTTATAAATCATTTTGACTTTGATTGTTATTTTATTCTCACCTGTCAAAGTGGCAGCTAGTTTAGCTGGTGGTTTAAAAAGAAGGTTACATCATCAGAAATGTTTAATCATTGTCTTTCTGATGTCAAAATAAATCACTCCAAATGTTTACAGTGTTTATAATAATATTGTTTATCTGACAGTTCTGGTCTGAGCATACATCTTTTAGTCAGAAACCTAAATTAAACCTTGAGAAAGTGTTTTTGTGTGAGAAAAAGTTCAATATCTTTCTCCCTGGGGTTTGCAGGAGTTGAAGGGTCACTCTCTGAATGTTTAACTGCCTGGTCTAGAAACCTGGCCATGACTGCTGTCTTTGTGTCTGCAGACTTACTATGCTCTATTTTTACTGTGCTGCCACTGCAGAGGATTAGCTCTCACACAGTGACTTACTCTGAATATCACAACAATCTCTGATATACTAATACAGATTTGAGTTGATTTTGATTTTTATAACAATGACTATTTTGGTTTAAACAATTCTTTCTATCATGAGTCATTTGAGCTGTTTATTTTAGGAGCAGATGTCTAAATGTCATTGTAAAATCAGGCTGACTTTGTTTTTTTATTTATAAAGCAGAATTAAATATTAAATAGTTGCAAGTTAAATAGGAATCCAGTAAATATTTTAAAATGCTAGACAGTACATTAAAAAGACATGTTAAAAGATACTTATGTTGTTTTCTTATTACATTCAAAGGTTTAACATGGGTCTGACATGGGCTTAACCCAGTCTGATTCAAAGTTTGAAACCCAGTTCGATGAGGCAAAGCTTTGTACTTTAAAAACTGTAGTAAAATGTTCACTAAGGATGCTTATATCATGATAACCTTAACCAAATCATTTTTAATTGATCATATTACATGTAGTTACTGATTAATGACTGCCTGCTTTTCCTGTGTGCGTGTAATACGGCACAGGGGCAACTGTCTGCACTCTGTTCTTGGGAAGTGGTGGCCTAGTGGTTATGGCATTGCACTTGATATCCAAAGACTCAGACTCTGGGTCCCTGAGCAAAGACCCTTAGCCCCACACTGCTCCCCGGGTGCGGCACAATGGCAGCCCACTGCTCCCCAAGGGGATGTGTTAAATGCAGAGAGTTGATTTTTTTCCTCTGTACTTTTGACAGTGTAATGACAATAAAAGCTGAAAAAATAAATTAATAAAAAACTTCCTTCTGGCAACTCTTAAAAATGGGAGACAAGAGAACATACTGTTAAAGTAATAGCAATGTATGTTGGTCCACCTAAATCAGTGGCTTTTTAAGCAATAAAGGCAGCAAGTTGATCTACCTTAAAGGAGAGGATGACAATGTGTAAAGGCAATCTGCAATCCAGTGGGCCCATTCTTCTTAGGTACCCATCTATCTGTCCGTCAGTATTCTTTCACTCCACTTGGGCCAGCACCTCCAGGGGAATCCCAAGGAGTTCCCAGGGTTCTCCTCCTGGTGGGACATACCTGGAACACCTCACCAGGGAGGCGTCTAGGAAGCCTCCTAACCAGATGCCCACTGGCAACATAACTTTTGGGCTCTGCTAGAACCCCCCCCCAAAAAATAGTAAGGTACTGCAAGAAAATGTGTTAAATACCTAAACTTACCCATATCTAGTGTAAAAGCAATAATGCAAACTGTGGGACAACTAGAAATGTGACAAAAAGCGTTTATGAGTTGGATGATAAAGAAATAGAAAGAAATCTGCAAAATCGACTGTTGACGAACTAAACAGAAGTCTTCAGGAAGCAACTGAAAAATACTACAATATAATGCTTTTTACATACCTTAAACTTTGGTGGCGATTGTTGTTAAGAGTTATACCTTCAATGAGAAAGAAATAAACATATGGAAACCTGTGCCCTCCCCTTAAGAGTCCTATGAACAAGCTTGTCTTGATAATAAAACCAGGTACTATTCAATCTTGCTAAGAGTATGAAGTCTGCTCCGTGTGTTATTTAACCGCTTAACTGATGTTTAACACAGATCTTGGTGCCTGACAATAATGTTCACTGCAGCAGTGTTTATGGGTCAGAGGTATGTGAGTAATTGAGTCCATGGCAGCCAGCTGTGGCTTTGGATCAGGCCCAGAACCTGAAATATTTAGCCCGTCTGTCAAGTTCATGACGTGGGTTTATATGAAACGGTATCTACTTTCAAACAGCAGTCTGACCCGTATTCTGGCCCCACCACCCCCTGTGAATTAAACTGTTGGACTCGTGCTAATCCTATGATACGTAATAAAGTGTGTGATGTGCTTTTGTGCAGATATTTCAGATGTGGGCTCACATTTCAAACAGAGCATAAAGTTGTTGTACCCAGAGAGGATTAAAAAACTAGATGTAACAGTTTGTTATCTGTTTGAAAGGTACTTCATGATTTTGGAGAATGAGTAATGATGTCGGGTAATCTCTGTATGCACTCTGCTGGTTCAACTGGAATTAATTCATTTAGATTTAATGTGGATGTGACAGGAATCATCTGGCGTCCTCATCAGTGTCTGCTTGACTCCCTGTTGCTTCTCAGATTTATTGGACCTGCCGCCCACAGGAAGCACAGCCAATTGTGGGTCTGATTTATTCTCTGTTACAGATGCTGAACCTCTCTTTTTCTGCTTGGCAGTGCTAGAAACGATGGATTTGTTTTAAAGAACACCACAGAGTTTTGGTTTTGAACAGTTGAAGAGATGTGGAGAATGGAGAAATGCCAAAAATATGCTTTCAGCACCCCCATCCTCGGTATAATTGGAGGCAAGGCTCAAGCATTATAAAATAAGTCAATCAACATTTACATAAGCCTATGAGCCTTTCTGCTATGAATTGTGTTGTAACTTATGTATAAGCTTCTGGTCTGATCAGGTTTTTTCTTAATGTTTCATAATTAATCAGCGTTTTAGAAAATATTTTGGAGGCCTGAAAATCATTACTGCAGATATTCACCCCCCCAAAAATGTATGATCAGGACCAAAAAAGAATCTAAAAATCAAAAATACTTTTACCTCAACTATTTTTCTTGTTGTTATATTGTTTTTAGTGTGTTTTGAAATGCAGAGGCTTGCTTCTTCCGTTTGGACTGTTTACATTTTTGCCTAAAAAAAAAAAATAATAATCGCAGAACGTGTAAAGGATAAGGGCTTAAGCTCTTCGGTCACTCAAACCTTAGACACAGGGTCAGGGACTTAAGTTTTGTTAGCAGCCTTCATGTCATGCCATGAAACCACCTACAGGAGCTTTTGCATATCCTTTGGTAAAAGGCTTCTTTCAATTAATCAGTCAGACTCTGGGCATCAATGTCTTATAATAATCTATTCATGTTAACTTTCATGATTTCAGGGATATTTTTCATAATGGAGAAAAATACATTGCATAATTTCAGACAAAAATAAACTTAGCATACCATCATCCTTTTCTCTTGCCAATAGACTGCTTTCACTGCAATTATGAATCTAAAAAGAAAATATTTCATTCAGAAAATAGAGTTTCTGACTCATTCATTAACGATTAATATGAAGGCATATTCTGGAAAATACAAAATTAGTTTTATATCTATTCGGACATCTTTATTAAGACGTGATAAATCATTACTTAATACTTTTCTTTTGACATGAATGTATACTTATGTTTCTGATATTGTATAGAGAGCTCCTTAGTAACATTCAAATAACTCCCAGCAGTTTATAGTTGTCTTAATATGTTCTATGGTGGTTCTAAGATACCTACATGACAATGTTAAGTTTTCAGGTTCAACATCATGCCATGTCCTTCATTTTATTACTCAGGTGTCCGCTTCTTTTCACTTCACAACTTTGTACACATATGCATTGATGTAGCACAAGAGATTTCAGTAAAATCCACTAAAGTTTGGCAATGCAGTGTGCCACAAAATACTGGTAAAGGGTAAGAGGTATGAAAACATTTGAAAGACAACACATTTTAACTATGATATATTCTACTCAAAAAAGAAAACATAATTTAAACATAGAAAAATAATCTAATCTGTTGTATCTGATGATGCAAATTTCCAATGTATCATCATTTAAGAATACAGAATATTTCTGTTTACTGCTACAAAAGGTAAAGTTACATGTGGTCATCAACACAACAAACTTAAATTGATATAATGAGTGGCACTTTGAGGCAGTTGAGCAAAGACTGGGGAAATTATATTGACTAAAATCAGACAGTAAACAATGTAGTTTGTTGTAAAGAAACATGAAAATTTCCTGGAACCTAAGTTCAAATTTAATACAGGCCTCGGCTTTGAGATTGAAAATACTTTTTTAATCATTCACATGATTTTTTACCAGCACTTTGAGCCTGACTAAGTCTTTAAAATGGTGATTATCAGTTGTCAAAGTTTGCTCAGCATTTATATAGACCTTAAAGTGTCTGCTTTGTTCAGATACTTTGCTATCAATGTCCCCTCAGAGGATCATTGCTGAACCTGCTGCCTCTTTACTCAAATGTATATGCTACATTGTTTGCTGAAATGTAAAAAGAAGCTGTGTTGTGGAGAAGGTGTGCTTTGTGTCGAGCAACATGCCCAAGGGAGAGCTGTGTGTGTTTTGCCCCCCCTTCATCAGCACAACCAGGCTGCAGCTCACAGTGCCTCCTCTGTGCTGAAAGGGCTTCTCTCAATGCCACTGTGTGTTTACCAGGAGTTATTTCCACTCAGTCACTGTATCAAAAAGCAGGGCGGGGAAAAAATATGCCTACAGATTTCCATCCATAGGAACTTCATGGAAGTTCAGACACTCTCACACACACTCAAGAAGAGAGGGAAAGAGAGAGAGTCTGGGTACTGAACAATGACATGCAACTGCCCAGGATGTCGATGTCACTTCCCGTGTTTGTGAGCAGTCATTTGGTGTTGCTCTGGAAACCAAATGTAATATTGAAAAATCCCCTGTCTCGGCAGAGAAAAGCCAGTCCATAAGGGAGAGCCAGGCCTCGTCCCCAACTCGGGCAGCAGCTGCCAGACTCTCAGCAATGATACATGGCAAAGACCAAGTCTACGCCAACGCCATGTTGGTGGACAAGGTGAGCCGGAGTCACTTTTTTGTTTTTTGGTCTTTAATTGAGTTAATGGTTATTTTATCTTTGCAATCCAAACAGGAAAAAAAAGTCTCTTTCTGATGTTTTTTCCTTTTTCTGTGTTAGGTTGAAGGAGCTGACATTAAGTATCGGTCTCCAGGGGATGAGGAGCAGGTCAGCCCTTCATCCTGCTGGGACTCCCTCTCTCCCACTCTCGTTGAATCGGTAAACTGCTCCCAGAACCGTTCCCAGTCATCATCCCATCGCGGGCTGAGGGGAAGTCAGGGCCCAGGCCAGGACAATGGCAGGGAGGCATACTCTTGTGCTTCTCCCCCTTATCCCTTTGCCTCCTCCTCCCCTTCCTTTCCTTCCTCACCCTTAGCTTCCGCAATTCGTTTGTTTGAGGGAGCACAGAGACGTCATCCACAGATGGGTCCTTCAGACTCCCCAGCTTCAGAACACAGAGAGTTCAGCTTGACAGATGCAGGCCGAGGCCTGAGGTATGATGCGGTTTCTGATGCAGGTTTCTATAATATGTAATGTGGCTGCTTTAAGTACATGAGGGCACTACGAAGACAGCTAAGTAAAGGTTTTCTGCTTTATCTAAATATTTTTGGTAATTTTCCTGCTGCCTCTGAACTTAGTGGAAAGGAAAGACAAATTTAGACGTTGAGACACATCTCAGGTGTTTTGTGAGTTTTCTTATTGAGTATATGGTATTTTCTGATTTTCATCAACCCTGTGTTATCCTTTGTTTTTATTTTTTTCTTTGCATCCAGTTGTATTTTAAAGTGATCTAGCTTAATAATTATCTCCCATTCTTAAGGTCATTTAAGTTTTTAGACTCTGGCTGCCTTTCTACTCTCTTTTTTTTAATCCAGTCCTCAAATCTAACCAAGACTGCACGCTGTTCAGTTAATGCCTGAAAATCTTCAGTACAAATTACCAAGTTGAACAACAAAGTGTCCAGCCAAAGAAAACTTTTTCCTATCCCAGAAAAAAAATCTGAATTTCTAAAAGTTGTGTTTAGTTTCATTAGAAGAACAGAAATCAAAATAAAGACTTTGACTTAGAAAGACTTTATTTGTCATATGTAAACACAAGTGTATACTAAAAGAAATTTCGTTCAGTACAGCTCTCAAGACATTTTTGTTTTTTAAAGTGCACCCTTGATAAAGGTAAGCTGCAGTGATAATGTAAAAATACAAGTTAGTTATGGTTCCAACATTCAGGGTTTTATCTTTTTTAAGCCTTACAAAGGACCTGAGAAATGCACCCTTTGAAGATCTAGAAGATTATCTCGAAGATCTAGAAGACAAAAGAAACTAGAGCTGTATCAGTCTTAATGTGAAACATTTAGTTCTTTAAAAACATAAGTTTTGTGTTTGTACAATAAAAGATGAAAATTATTCTATTTTGTACAAATATGAAAAGAATACTAGGACAATAAAAATTTCTCTGTATATTGTGATGCAACTCTATTATCCTTTTCCTGAATGGCAGTTCTAAACTTTTGTTAAAATCACCTTGATTGGGCCAGACTATCAATTTATCTTCTTAAAACTATCATTATTTTTTTATAAATTCAGTTCAGGAATTAAGAAAAAATTCAGTATTCTGGATGGGAGATTATTAAAGCATACATTAGAATTAAAAATGTGTTTTAATCATGAAAAAAATGCCCACTGAAAATGTGATGCTAAAGAGAAGTTGGACTTCAGCAGGATAGGCAAACCAAACACGTCCATCTAGACCTAGAAGCACACCTCCAAGCAAGAACGAACTACAATAGCTTTAATGCTGTTTAGTTGGAGAACACTGGCATAAAACCTGGTGTTTGTCTGTGAGATGACAGTGGATGTAAAAGCCATAAAAAAAGTTATTTACAATCAGGATGATAATACCTCTGCCATTTGTGAATGTGCTTTTTTTTCTTTCTCTTTGTAATTAGCCCTGGTCTGGAGTGTGACAGTGAAGAAGATGACATACTTGGACATTCCTACTCTTGTTCATCTTCAAAACAGCGGTCCATCCTGCAGTCCAGCTCTGGAGAGGAAAGGGACTCTTTTGACACTTCACCTGACTTTAACCGCTCACACTCGGAAACCGCAAAGAAATCCAACACGGTAAATCTCAAGTCATCTGTTGCAGATCAGAGGAAGGGAAAGATTAATAAAAAACAAAAAATAGTTTCTGAATGATAAACACCTTTGAGCAAGTGTCATTATATCCATCCATCCATCTTCTTTTATTCCGTCAGGGTCGAGGTGGGGCCGGTGCCTACCTCTGGCAGTTTATGGGCAAAAGGCGGGGTACACCCTGGACTGGTTGCTAGTCTGTCACAGAGCAACACAGAGACACACAACCATGCACTCACACGCTCACACCTAAGGACAATTTAGAGATACCAATTGACTTAACAGTCATGTTTTTGGACTGTGGGAGAAGGTAACCTGAGAGAACCCATGCATGCACAGTGGCAACATGCAAACTCCATGCAGAAAGACATGGAGTTCGCTGCCCGCTACACCAATGTGCAGCCGTGTCACTAATATTCATGTCAAATTCATTCAAAGGAAAGATGACAGAATAAAAAAAAAAAAAAAAGTTTCAGATTTAAATCCCATTCATCCCACAAAAAAACCCTCCATTTCAAGTTTTCCAGCAGACACACCGTAGCTTACATACAGACATCAGTAGATAAGCCCACATTGTCAACAGCTCAATAATAAGGACAAAAGGTCAGAGAAGAGTTGGTTTACTGGGCAGGATTTGCTGTCTTCCAATGTTCCCTGCTCGCAGATTGAACTTGTTAGCTTCTCCCATCTGATATGTTAATCTGGTTTATTCTCTTACCCAGAATTCAGAGGAGGCTGAGGTTCGCCTGCGCTCATACTCATACTCTTCCCCTAAAGCGAGGCCATCACGGCCGCTGCTAAACCGAGACTCAGCTGTCACCGATTTGGAAGAAGGTGGGTGAACTTTGAGCACTTTGTCCTGCGTTCCCTCCTTTTAAGTAATCAGCCAGCTGAACTCACACATGTGCCCAGACATTTTGTGTGTTGGTATAGCACTTCTGATGGTGCAAGATTGTAAATGAATGTGACACCTTAGCAATAAGTTCCTGCTTTATTCCATGTAGATGGCACTTTCAGCAGTGGAGGTCGCTCACTACTTCAAGCTTTATCTCTCTCTAAATCACTCTCACGTCTCAACCAAGTTAGTAAGTATAAGGGTTCAGGTTACAGCTTATAGACACGAAGCTGGTTTGTTGGTGAAACTATTTTACTATTTCTTGACAATTTCATGGGGCTGATTTGTGAAGAGCTGCTCAATTAGAGGGGAAATTTGTAGTCTTAAAACTTAAGATTTATTTTTAAAAGAATCGGAAAGCTTGAACAAAAATAATCTGCCTGTTTTTTTTTGGTAAATATCATTGCTGTAGTTTCCCATTGTTGCCCTAATTGTGCAGTTCTATATCTGTGGTGAGGTTTAATTCTTGGTGGTAAGCACGAGACCACTGCCTCTCTCTAAATAACATATTTTCAGATGTCCAGTAATCAAAAGCAGACCTTTTCCCAATCCTCAGTTTTTCTCTTTGATGAATCAAAAAATAATAGTTTTCTAAAAGCTAATTCATGAAAATGTAATGTCTCACAAAAGAAAGGGAATTTGGAATAATACTTAGCTCCTGGTCATCATCTAATAGATGGAGGAAATGTTTCTGGTCTGAGGCTTCTGTTATCCTTCCCTTTGGTCACATTTTGTTTTCCTCTTGGCTTTTCATTTTTCCATCTTTGCTGTCATCTGGTTTTTCATGGAAAAAAGGTTGTGTTTGTTCTCGCTCTGTTGGGGTTTACTGGATCTTGGCTTTTTCATGCGATTCTTGATTTTGCCTCAAACTGAATAATAATGGTGGCTGTAGGCAGTTTGTAATTCTGTCAGCTAATCTTTCTGTTATCATACAGCATCTAATGCAGTGCAACAAAAAAAGCTGTTGCTTGCTTGCCAATTTCTGCTACTTCTCCTATTTGTCACTTCTAAATGTTTAAAATCATCAAACAGGTTTTAACATCAGATAAAGATAAACTGAGCTGCTTAAAAAAAAATCAAAATTTTCTTTTAATTGGGAAAATAAATCTCCTAATGTACAACAAATGATGTAAGAGACTGACTGGCTTGTTAAAAAATTATAAACCAGACATTTTTTGGTTCAGTTTGACAATTCACATCTAGGCCTGATTACTCAACAATTTGTAGAATCAGGAAATCAATTGAAGGTAACCCGTCTGACTGCTTGAAGTGGGAGGAAAAAATCTTAAAAAGCAACACATCCTCTCCTGGTCCACACACGAGAAACAAAGTCACCAAAACCTTAAAATAAAGCATTTTTTTTTTAACTATAGGACTGAAGTGATACCACAGCTATTATCCCAAAATGGAATAAAAAAAACATCAATGAACCTTTGCTGCACTTATGGGTCTACTAAAATTACTCGATGAGTGTTTTACATTTGCAGGAGGTCTCAAAAAATATCTGCAGGCTTAACTTGCCTCAGTTAGAGGGTATTAATGATTAAACAATAAGAAAATGATTGGGAAACAAAACAGGCGTAGTTCTTAGGACTTCCTGATGATTCCAACAAGTTAAAGCTGGTATAAAACCCATGATTTTAGTAAACAAACACCATGCCAAAAACCAAAACATAACGGTTGCATGGTGCTCTGAGGTTGCTTTGCTGCTTCGTGACCTGAACAAGTATTCATTAGTAATGGAAACATAAAATTTCGGTTGGTTTAGTTCTATAATGTTTTAAAAAACAAAATAAATGTTATTGAAAGGCCTTGTTAAAGTCTGGAGTTGCTGTGTGATGCTTGAAACCCTTCTAATAGCAAAATGTGAACATTTTTCAGACTAGTGGGACAATATTTCTCGACTATAAAGGGAAACTTTTAGCCAGTTTTTCACTTCACAAGATCATCATTTGAAAACATTTTGTTTGATGATATTAAGCATTAAGTGTGACAAATAACAAACAAAAAAACATGATACCTCTGTAGGGGGGCAAAAGTTCCTCATGGCTCTGCATTATCAAACTCATTAACTATTATTTCCAACCCTTTTTTTCTTTTTTTCCTGCTTTTCACAGAACAGAGAGCCTTCAACCTGACTGAAACAGCGAAAGAAAAGAGGTAAAGCCAGCAAGCTACTTCCTGACCTCATATATCAGGTCTCCTGAACGCCTCTCACTCAGACCCATGCCCCTTTTTTTAGTCATCATCAGTGGACAGCAGCTAGTGATTGGTTTACATGGAGCACACATCTATACGTGTGTGGGTGTGTGTGTGAGGGGGGGTTTGTCTCTCTTAGGGTATTCTCTGATTGCAACCTCAAAATAACTTGTGTAAACACCAAAACCATGGGCTTTCTTGGATGTCAGACTTCAGAAACATCAGGACCACATCAGTGGTGCTGAATTGATTGTGTGCATACTGTAGTGTTTATGTTGGATGTAGATTTAAAAAGAAGAAGAAAGACCTGCTTTCAAATCTTTCCATCCATGTAACACAATTCAGTCATACGTCACTTAACATTTCAATCTTACTGACTTTTTCATCATGTGCTAATATATTTATTTGATAAGAATCATGCATTGCTTTAACACAGATTTTTTTGTAGGACATATTATTGTCAATAAAGAAACAATTGGAAACAGAGATATGCTTGAATGAATAGACTAAGTATCCATTTGTGTGAAAATCTTTAGTGTCATTCAGAGTGCAGAACTGGTGAAAGAAAGCAGACCCTCTTTTATGCTCTGATGCATCAGGTTGTATTAAAAATGAAGCTGGTTCTAAGAGGATATAAAGCTGTTGCTTAAGACCTACAAGCGCAGAACACATCACAAAGTTTATTGAACAAATATGAGACAAAAAAAAAACAAAACCTTCAGAACAAAACTACCGGTAGATACACAGTTTATGCTTCTCTTGGCTTTAAAAGGGAATCTGGATATCAGGAGATGATGAAGAACTGCAGTTTATTAACTGATCACTTTCAGTGTGACTGTTTCTGTAAAATTTAAGGTAGGGAACATACAGGTATAATTATTATGATACCACTGTGAAAAGAAATCATCAATGACCTAAGAGAAACAATGCTTTTCACCCATCAGTCTGTACAGGAACAGAAAAAAAGATCTAAGACAAATCCAACCTCCATCTAACCTTTGAAGCTGAAGCATTCTTAAATAATAAATAGATCTGGTAGGCTTCTGTTAGCACACAACAGGTTGAAGTTCAGGACAGAAGGCCTAGTTTCTGTCACATCCCTTTGCAGTTACGCTGTCAATTACAAACTCCTTTCACTTCATAAAGTCTTCAAAATATTAAAACCCAATTAAATATTCTAAAGCCTGGCCAAGGACAGGAATGTTATAATTCACTAAAGAATTGAATCAGGAGTCAGTAAAGATGACTAAGAGTGAGAGGTGCATTGGCATGAATACCAGCAAATATTTGCACATAACTGGATCTTTTCAGAACTTTACAGAATGTTCCAAAGAAGATACTGTTGGATTTATCCAGATCCTAGCTTATGAAAGCATGAATAAAAGAGCCAGCCTCAAGATCGGATGGAGATGGAGAAGTGTTGATTGTGAAAGAAGGCAAATTTTGTGCTGTGTGGCGTCAAAGAAATGCTGGACTAAAATCCTGTCAAGCAAGCAGAAATATTACAAAAGATTCATGTTCCATTTTGATAATCTTCCTAAGAAGATATGAAGCGACCTGTCTGAGGTGTTTTATATCCACACAGGGCTCTGGGTTTCCGTAAGCGGGCCCAGTCAGCAGAGGAAGAGGGCACGACGTCACTCCAACATCTCACCCTTACAGAGTTTCTCAAAGAGTATGTCTCCTTAAAAAATTGGCCGCACAGATGTGCACGTGTGGTGTAGCTCAATCTGTCCCAGCTGGAGCCTCATTCTCCAGCTCATCTTTAGCCACACAGATATTTTGGCTATGCAGGAATGTGCATTAGGTCAGTCTAATATAGATGAAAAAAAAATAGTCTTCATTGCATGTTTCTTTTCTTGTCACTCCATTATTGCTTCTTTTAACCTGGGAGGCCTAATGTAACCAGACTCTGCTGATGTAAATCGATGATAAATTAATAATTGTGTTTCGCCAAGGTGGGTCTATAAATAGCAACCTCTGGAGTCCACAGCCACTCACAAGCATGCCAAGCATGTTATTAAGAGTAATAACCTGTAGATTAGGGCTCCTGGAAGACAGTCTGGACATTCTTTCATTTCAGCATGCTGCTTATCCTCCTTTATTAGTCAACTTTTCCAATCTGGTAAACTACTAAAATCCCTCCGATTTTAAAGAAATGCATGTTGTATGTTAGAACTAAAGTCATGCTAAAAAGCACGTGAGAGTGATTTCCTTTTCATCATACTTAGGATCGAGGATGAGGAGTGGGATAAATACATAATTCCTTCTAAGGTCGAGTCGGAGAAGTACAAAGTGAGCCGGACTTTCAGTTTCCTAAAGAGCAGGATGTCCAGCACTCGAAGCAAAACCAAGGTGAGCTGATGGTGAGGGACGATGTACCAAAGGGGGAAAAAATCCTGTTGGCTAAGCCTATGCCTGCTTGTATATAAAATGTGACAAACAAATCCCTCCAGTTGACCTCTGTAATTAAAAAGTCAGAGCTGAAACCCCTCTCGAGTTGTCCATTAAAGGTTTTAACACAGAATTCCTGCACTGGGGGGCCTATTGTCTGTTAGCTGTTCCTTTATTTGGCGAGGGAGAAGTTTCCTCTCTTCAGGACGTAGTGAAAATATCCCCTTATATAACATGTAGAACCCCCCCTCCCCCTCACGTTTTTCTTCAAAAAGCTTGAAAAACCAAAACACATCCTGCTTCACTCTCATAATCCCATGAACACATGTTTGTATGTGCTTGAAGGCATGTTTCCCTCACACAATACACTTGGACGGCAAAAAAAACAAACACACGCTCTCAGACTTCCTTGCAAAGTCTGGGAAGAAAATAAATATGGCCCTATCACACACATACAGAGAGAAATCCTCCTAATGCCCCCCAAGGATAAAGCACTATAACAGCAGCTGTCCCCATAGACCTCAGCAAGGTAAACAGAAAAACCCGCTCATGTGCCCCTTTATCTCAAATAGCTTCACTCAGCAGGTGTTTTGCACCAAACTGAGGGTGATTATGTGCTATATCTTTGGTGGTTTACAGAGCAATGTTGCTTTAAGTATAGTAAATGTCAGAAAAACAAGTAAAGTCTAATTATTTATGACCTCTTTTGTTTCAGGTAAAAGGCAAAGAGACGAAGGAGGGGAAAGAGAAGTCAGGAGCATCTAATGGGCACCAGTTCATTTCCGTGTCTCCTCCTGCTCCTTCTCTCTGTGTGGCCTGTGATAAGCCTGTTTCTGGGAAAGATTTGTTGCAGTGTTCCAGTGAGTATATAATGTCAGAACTAGTGTTGGAAAATGTCCTGTTGTGGTTGGAACATATGAAGTTTGTTTGAGTTTCTCTGTGCACGCTGCCACAGTGTTTTACCTAGAAGACGTACGTTTTGTGAAATGAGAGGGATGTCGCTGTCACCAGTAAAAAGAATTCAGATTATCAGTTAACTTATAAAATGAACATGGATTTTCTCTGTGTTTTTCTCCAGACTGCTCTCTGAATGTCCATAAAACCTGTCGAGAATCAGTTGCAGTTTGTGGAAAGGTAATAACTCATGATTTCTTTGATGTTAAGGCTTTTTTTATGTTATGTTGTATGTTAGAAAAAGCGATTGTCCTGTTTTTCTTTCATTGGTCTGTTAAAGGTATTGTGGAGGATTTTTGCACATTTTTCAAAAGACCCACCCTCTCCACTTAAAAAAAAAAATGCTTTGCACAACCCTGTACCCATTCCCGAGAGGGAACGCCTATTAAACGCGTCCGAGAGCATGCACGAGCCCATTTCTCCTTGTACATTCTCTGTTTAAAAGTTGATGTTCTCATAGCTCATACAAGCTTTCTGTGTCCGAATGTTCACCCAAACCCCTAACCCCGCAATCACTATATAAAGCAGGGGACTATATAGTAGCCTGACGTAGTCCTACTCAATTTTAGTCAGATTATGAGTCTGATACTGCTCCATAGAGCTGTGATTATGGGGCGTGTTTTGAACGAACAAGGAAAAAAAATGCCTCTGCACTCAATTGGATAGACCTACAACCAATAAGAGCAACGGAGTGCGTGACGTATGTTAAGCGACGCACAGTTGTTGTCAACAAAAATTAAAGCGTGCAGTTGCACGCCTATAATAAGAAGATGAGCCTTGATCGCGTTTCTCTGTTCCTCTTTTAAAATTAATTTGCTGTCGATATCTTCTAGAACAGACCTAATAGCAGAATCTACACACCTCAGCTCTGCAGCGGCAGCCATTGTTGTCGTCGCCCATGCACGCTTTGGTCACGTGGTTGGTCACGTTACTGTTGAT